GGGGGGGGTATCCACGGCGGGGAAGTGTCCCCACCGGGGTCCTTTACGTTATTCTATGCTCCCTGCTGCTTTTTGACGGAGCTTCGAATCCCCTCAGTCGTCAAAGCCTTTTGGGAAAGGATGGGGGGCCCTGCCCTGCCCGGTCGCCTGCCTACCTAAGACACCTGGTACCTCAGCGGGAGTTTGCATCTCCCGCTAAAGCTCTAACGTGGTAAATAATGTTGGCCCTTAGCGGCTGTTAGCTGCTTAATATTCTGAAAACGTATCCAGGGCTCCTCAGTCTGAGTGGAAACAGTTGGGCCTATTCAGAGGCAGGTAAGGCACCCCCATAAACACCAGCACCCCGAAGACACCAGCGCCGTCACCCGTATCACCACCGGCACGCCTTGCTCATCAGGAAGGCCTCTGTCAGCAACATCCCTGAAGTCTCAGCCTCGATTTCTAATTTCATACTTTATTTGGTAATTTCCTTCAAATAGGCCTCATTTTATGATCCATTAAATTAAGTTGGAAACAGCCTTGCTGAATGAAAGGAGGAAAAGTTAAAGTATATTTTCAAATATTCTTGAACTGTGTTGAAATAACGACTGGGGCCGTGTTAGCGCATCTCCCCAGCCACGTCCTAAAGCTGTGACCAGACGCAAGCACGGGGCAGGCACAGCTCGGGTTAGTTCTCAGGCAGCTCTCGTCTCCCCTTCTCCTTCCAAAGGTTAGTTCGACGAGACCAGGGCTCCTCCCGATTATCCGAGTAACGACCATTCTAAGTACAGGTGACGAATTAACTATTTGGGGATAACTGATCCTTAGAATGCGAACGCATCCTTCAGCCCCCCAAGGGCCGATGACAAACCAAAGCCGGAAGGTGGGTGGGAAACGCCGACGTCCTGGGAGCACCTGCCTGCAGCAGAGCGCAGAGCACCCACGACACGGCAGACGCCGGGGAAACACGCCGGACACGGAGGCACGTGTGCTGAAGTGATAAGATGCGCACGGGAGGGCTAATTAATCACTGTCGTCAACCAAGTAACACACAGGGAGGCACGTTCCAGGCCAGCCGACCGCGGGCGCACTCGCCCGAACAGCTGGAGAACAGCTGGACCTGTCGCATTTCTGACACGGTTTGTCCCCACAGTGTTAAGAATGACACAGGCCCCTGTTACGGGCGGACAGCACACACGCCCTCCCTTGTGTTTCTGTTCATACATTAATTTTATAGGAAAATAACATCAGCCGTGCCAGATCCTGGGTTTTGGGAGTCAAAAACAGAAACCATCCCTTAACAACGCTCATCTCGAAACTACGGCCACCCCAGGCTGAAGTAGAAACATTTGGGTACATAAGCAGCCAAAACCCCATCTCACCAGCACTTTCTCAGATTATAAGGAATTACAGAAAAATGAATATTTCAGTAAAACATATAAACACTGAATAGAGATGAAGACATTTGAACACAAAAGCACATGCAACCGTGTTGGTGGTAAAGTGAGGAGGAGCTGCACTGAGAACGAGATTTTAAAAAGTGAAATAAAGGCTGAAAACTGTCATCAGAGGGGAAAAAAGTGTCTGTGGTCTGAATACTCTAGTCACACGGCCAGATGGAGGCGCCACTGAGATGCAGAAAATAAAGAATCAAGATCTCCTGCCTCTGAGCGCGAGCGAGCGCCACCCGGTCACCTGCGTCCCATCTCCCAAAGCACATCGCCCGGGAAGGAAACAAAACAACGAAGAAACGCAAACTTAAGGGTATAACCAAACTGTAAAAGCATCAGAAAGAGAGAAACTGTAGGACCAGGAGGGAGAGTCGCCTTACACACTTCACTTGGGGAAAAGTCCTTCCCCACGGTTCTAACGGCGGCTTCATTTAAAGGAAGTTTTACAAAATATAAATAAGAAGTTCGGCAGCGGCCTTGGTGGGAACCTGAACATTAGGTTTCGTTGGCCTCGCTGCAGCGTCCCTACAGCGACACGTTCCTGGTCTGGTTGACAAGGGTGAGATTTAAAAAAAACACAAAAAAACCCCAGCAGAGCCCAGGGGAGGGGAACGGGGCGTCAGGGCCGCGTCTCGGGGGCATCAGGGCCGCGTCTTACCATACACGTGTCCAGGTCCTCCAGGCGCTCCAGCTCCGTGAGCTCCTCCACCGTGAGGACCGGGCGCTTGGCCGGCTTCTCGTCCGCCGGCTCCACGTCCGCGGCCTCGGGGGCGGGCAGGGTCCGGCCCCGCCGGCTGAAGTGGTCGGTCTGGAGAGTCAACACAGGACAAATCACCACGGACACGGGACGGCCGGTGGCTGGGCTCCCAAAGCGGGTGCCGGGGGGGCTGACGGCCGTTCCCATAAACTCACGGACCAACTTACCCTTCTTGCTACCTTTCTTTGGAGGGTGGAGAGCTCTACCCAGGAAGACAAAATCCCTTTTTAAAAATGTCTTTTGAGACTTTATTTTTTGAAAAACACCACCTTTGCCCTGTTGATGCAACTACGCACATAGTAGGCGTGTTTCTGTTTCCTAAAGAGGCACCAGGCACCTTCCTCTCAGGCTGGTGTGATCCACTCAACTTTTTAACTTTGATACAATCACAAAATTACGTCCACCAGGAGGCATTGCAGCCTTTTGTACAGAGAAGCCACTTTCTTTATACAGTGAAAATAAAACCAAAAACACACACAGAACAGTCAACACCAGGACCTGCATCGTCAAGGGGGCAACCGAGGCAGCCCCGGGAGCTGCGCGTATCAATAAGCTTTTCTATGCAGGTGCTCTCTTGGTTCTGTTTCTGCTTATTAAAAACATGAAAATCTGAGCCCGGCGGGTGTCTCGTTTGGCTGGGGGGTCGTCCTGTGCACCAAACGCCGGTGGTTCGGTCCCTGGCCCAGCACACATGCGGGAGGCAACCAGGGGGTCTCTCTCTCACGTCGATGTTTCTCTCTCCGCCCCCCGCCTTCCACTCTCTGAAAAGCAACGAAAAATATATCCTCAAGTGAGGATTTAAAAAAAAAAATACTCCATTCTCAATCAGATCAGAAATCGACAAAATGAGCTAAATTAAATCATCTTTAAAAAAAATCTTCACTTCAGATCTCAGTCTCCACATCGCCTCCTCCCACAGCCTAGACCTGGTTATAAACGGACAAGATTTCCCGACGCCCTCACTCCAGCTTTTCCCCGAATGTCCCCTGGAGAGTGTCCAGGACGCTCGCGATGGGCTGGAGGGGACACGGAGGAGGCAGGCGGAGGAGCCGGGGTCTTGGCCCCGCAATGCTGCTGAAGCCTAGAACGTGGGAAGGAGCCCACGCCCTCGCCGGAGGCCGGCCTGCGCCCAGGCAGAGACGGAGGCCCGCTCCAGCGGTCGCGGCACTCACCAGTCTGTGGTGGCAGCTAGACAGGGCGTCCAGGATTTCATCCACGATCCGGTCGGACAGGAAGGAGGCCACTGTCAACTTCACTTCGCTGTAGGCAGATCCAAAGAGCAGAGCAGCAGTTTAATTTGGGCAAAGGGAAAAAATATCACCCACCCGACGCTGTGGTCACAGGGTCAACCGCGGCTGCTCCTGTCTGCAAACGGAATATAAAGGTGTGCCCACAGCCCTGGCCGGTTTGGATCAGCGGTAAGAGCGTCGGCCTGCGGATGGGAGGGTCCTGGGTTCGATTCCGGCCGAGGGCACGTACCTCGGTTGCAGGCTCGTTCCTGGCCCCGGTCGGCGAGAGGGCAGGAGGCACCCAACCTATGTCTCTCCCTCTCCCTCCCGCTGTCCCTTCCACTCTCTGAAAAGCGATGGAGAAAATATCCTCAGGCGAGGATTGGAAAAAAAAAATGCAAACAGGGCCAAACACATCCAAAAACAAGCACGTCCTTAAACACCACCATCAACACACAGGTAACAGACGTTCTCTACCAATTTCCACCGGCCTCCGCCCTCTCGGCCCGGAGATTCAGAGGCAGAAATGAGAGCATCTGGATAAAGACCAACCTAATGGGAACCACGTGTACCGTGTGGTCAGGAACAATCCACCCATTGACAGAAATGAAAACAGCCCGGCTGGAGGGAATTAAGAAAGTCCAGCCCGACGGTTAAGCCTCAGTTATTCCGTTAGCCGCACCTCCCCCGCCTTTCAGAGACCTTTCTGTGCAGCGCACGGCGCCCAGGCCCCGGGGTCCACCGGACCCACCCTCTCACTCCGAGGACAGCTGCACACGCACGGCCGTCCCGCCCGTCGGGAACAAACGTCACCAGAACGTCCCGTTTCAGTGTCTCCTGCCCGACCTTCGAGCAGGGCCCAGACGTCAGGCAGTGCGGGCGGTTTTCACTAATAAACAGCTGAGCCACGACCGTTCTGGGCAGAGGCTGGCGCCTGAGTGAACACGGTGGCTCCTTGCTTTCCCCAAGGATTCAAATGCCACGTGTGTCTTTGATCTGAAAACCTGCGTAAATCCACAGCCCGTTTAAAGGCCACGTGCCAGAGGGATTTACCCCACATTCCAGCATCCATCTCAGAAGTTCATGTCTGCCTTTAACATCAACAGTCTTTTGCCCTGGCTGGTTTGGCTCAGTGGTTACAGCGTCCGCCTGAGGACTGAAGGGTCCCGGGTTCAATTCCGGCCAAGGGCACGTATCTCCGTTGCAGGCAAGATCCCCGATCCCAGTCGGGGCGCGTGCAGGAGGCAACCAACCCACGTGTCTCTCACATCCATGTTCCTCTCTCTCATCCATGTTCCTCTCTCACATCCACGTTCCTCTCTCTCATCCATGTTCCTCTCCCCCCTCCCCCCACTCTCTCTGAAAAGCAACGGAAAAAATACCCTCGGGTGGGGGCTAACAAACAAAGATAAAGTCAACCTTTGTGAGATTTTCAGAGCCAGGAAAGGAACTATGAAAATATTATTTAATTGTAAAACTAAAATGGAAAGGATATTTGCATAGCAGGGAAAAACCTTGCTAAGCTAAAGTCGATAATTTGCGCCGAGGTGTCTGCGCCCAGGAAGATTTCCGACACAGGGCAGAACAAAAGCCCTAACTCTTTAACGCCTGTCTCTCAAGCGGGGTCTCGGGAGCTTTCCCGCAGAGTCCCGGCCATCGGACAGGCCACACGCCCCCTGTGGGGACGCCAGCGACCGGGCCGCTCACGCCGCAGGGCTGTCGGCAGGACGGACGCACCTGATCTTGTTGAGGATGTCCACGCCCGACTGCTCCAGCAGCACGTTCTTCACGAAGGTCCGCGGGATGGAGATCTTCTCGGTGCTGGCGTGGATCAGGTCCTGCCGGATGTGCGCCCGCTTCATCACGTTGGGACACAGGTTCTCGGCGGCGTCGACCATGGACTCCAGCAGAGCCTGCAACAAGGCAGTGAGGGGCCAAGTGATACACGGGGACCCGCCATCCGCAGAGACTCGGTCACAGAGGATGAGCCCTCGGACCCAGGGACACGGCCGGGGACCCCGAGTCATCCAGGGTGACTGGGGACCATCAGACGGTCAGGGTCTCTGGTAATCACTTTAAATAAATCACGCAGCACCTGGAGGGTGAGCCTGACCTGGCCGTGCTGAGCACAAGGGCATCTCGAGAAGATTCAAAGACACAGACCAGCCTTTGCACCCACCTTCCCCCACCTACGGCTCTCTCGGGCCCCGGACAGTAAACGTGCAGATAGTTCCCGGACAACACAGCAAATCTGAGCTATTGTCTGGTTTTGCAAATCACAGGGGCCCCAAGTCAGGGACCCACCCAGTCTGTCAAGACATCAGAAACAGACAAGTCCAGGCAATGGCCAGTTTTCCTCCTTATAAAGAAAAGCTTCAGTGTTGGGGATGGTGACCGCTGTCGTAAGGAGCACGTGAACCCGAGGAAACACTGGCGAGCACTCTGTCAACATGAAGAGCAGCAGCCAGAACACTCTCGAACAAGGACCCCTCAGCGTCTGAAAAACGTGTCTGCACGTTCGTCCCCCGAGCACCCGTGAGGACGGGCCGGGATCCCGCGATGACCATTTACAGCTGAAGAGACTGAGCTGAGGGGGGCTAAGCGATCGGCTGAGACGGGCCAGGTGGCCGGCGGGTGTGGAAAGGACATCGGCGTTCACGTCAGGCCCACATCTGAATCCTCACCGAGTGACATGGGGCCACTCATCTCAGCTTTACTTCCCTCATCTCTGAAATGGCCAAGGCCTTGCCGCCTCAATCCCTGAAGACCAGATGACCGTGCAGATGCCAAGTGTTCGGGGCAGGGCCCAGCTCCAATAAACACGAGTCTGCCGCACGTAAACACTATTAATCTGCCTCAAAGGCGCTACTCTCGATGCCAGGTCCCAGTGTGACAGCCAGGCATGTGCCACCAGCACTGTGGTGTGGACGTGGCTGACGGAGCATCGTCACGGACAGACAGGCACAGTGGTCTGTCTGCTCCCACATTCACAGGCAAAGCTCGGTGCCACCAGCCAGGTCCCTCTGCCTCACACTGCAGGGTGACCGCTGTCACCTGCCCGTGGCAGCCGCTGGGACGACCGGAAATAACCCCAAACACTCCCAGCGCCCTCCAGCTGTGCAGGAAAAGTAAGAAAACGCAGGACTCTCCCGGCCGAGCTGGGCGAACACCGGCCAGAACCCAGCTCTGCCCCACGGGCCTGAGTGCAAAGTGCATCTGAAATCAACCCGGGAAGCAGTTCACCGCTGAAGCCCTGGGTGGAGCTAGAAAAGGCACAGAAGTCCGTTTTCACCACCTGTGCCGGGGCGTGGCTAGGTGAGCACCACACGCACACATATCTATAAAACACGGGTGCCTAGGTCACGACAATGTCATTTTCCAAAGTGGCAGGAAGCACAAACCTTCAGTTGTTCGTCGACAACTCTCGTGACCTCCCCAGCCATCGACTCCAGTGTCTCCTGAATCGGACTCGATAACAAGCCACCGGCTCCCGCCCAAGACGTGCTGCCAACGTGGTATAAATTTGGTAACAACTGCAAGAAAAACAAGAGAATCTCTCCACAGTTAAACAACATTTCCATCAGTGCCAGAGTCCTTGCAGACCATTAGCAGCAATTATTCCCGATCAAAGCCCCATCCATCGAACAGACGAGTAAACTGAGGTCCGGCTTGGAAACCATGGGGACACCTGACCTGGTGCCCGGCGTCCCCGTGTGGGGCGTTGAGGGGACCTGCCTGAGCCCCAGGGCTCCTGCCACACAGAACAGTCACTGTGTGTGTGACTCCAACAGCAGAGTGAGGACCAGGCCACACACGGGGGACCAAGTCCTACCCTGAGAGAGGCTTCTTTTAGAGGTGACGGGGGTGCCCTGCTGCTGACCAGCAAGCAGAGTAAGGCCACGTGAGTCGTTGCTCATTTAAACTACAATTATCTCTCGGTCATTCGGGACCCGGTGAACCACGCCGGCCCCCTGCGCCTCCGCGGGTGCTGAAAGGCGGCAACGATGGATTCAGTTCCCTCCGCCACCTGTGAGCAACCCTGGACGTGGGTGGAAAGCTAAAGGGAGCTGGCGCCAGCTTATAAGGCGCCTGTGCGGCCGAGTTGAAACGCACCGTCTTGGAGTTCTTGGCGTCCCGCATGAGCCGCTCGGCCGACCTCACGTCTTCCTGGACGGCGTCTCCCTCACAGTTCCGCAGGGAGTTGAGATGATCCTGGACCTTCACGCATATCCTGTCGATCATCTGCCCGGGGAGCAGGGCAGTGTTCAGACAGAAGGAAACAGAACAAGTGAGGATGGGAACTTCCTCCAGAAGGCAGAGCGCGCCCCATTACTAATTCACCTATTCATCTATTCATCTATTAATTCATAAGGAAACCCTGGCAACACTAAGTCCAAGGAGACACCGAAGGGTCCCAGTCCCGTCCTGCCTGGGGAAAGGCAGCGAGTAGAACCAGAGTGAGAACTTCATGAGGGTTCAGAGTCTCGCGGCGACTCAGTGACACTGCTAGACAGTAACCTGTCCCATTAATTTTCACTCTGCTCCCGCTAAGGGTCGGACACAGTGCTGGGCGCTGAGGGGAGAGCAATGGATCGCGCCGTTCTGATGACTACATGTGATGCCCAAGGCCAGTTGTCTCAGTATCTTGGAAATCACATTTTCCCTGGAAACAATATTTTTTACATTAATTCAGTTATATCAAGCAGTTTTCTATGAAACTTAAAAACCACCCCAAAAAAGCCAGTCGAGGTTTTATCGTATTGACATAGGTAATTAATGAAGTTTTATAACATCTAGTTTCTATTCTTTTAAGGCCCCTCTTCCAGGTTAATTACATCGGAATCATCTCAAGTTGTTCCAGGGATTTAAACTTAAAGCCCAAAGGGATGTGGTAGGTCATGACTGTAGACCAAGAACAACGTACGAGGGGGGAGGTTATGCTTTTATATTTGTATTTATAGAGAGAAACATGAAGAAAGCTAAGCCGTGGGAAATAAAAGATAAACACAGCTTAAAAAGTTTCTCCCATATTTTGTCCTGGCCAGTGTGGCTCAGTGGTTGGGCGTCAACCTAGGAACCGGGAGGTCACGTTCGATTCCTGGTCAGGGCACATGCGGGGTTTCAGGCGTGGTCCCCAGTTGGGGGCTTGCAGGAGGCAGCTGGCCGATGTCTCTCATCACTGACGTTTCTCTCTCCCTCTCCCTTCCTCTCTAAAAATCAATAAAAACTTTTCTTCTAAAAAAAGGGACTGACACACACCTGAGGACACAGCGGGCCAACCTGAGAGGCACGTGGACGCGGCTCTATCTATACAGTTGTCTTTAATTATCGACAGAGACGGAGGAGGCCCCAGAAACTGTGCCATGAAAGATTCGCCAAGAAGGCAGGATTTAAACGATCTCGAGAGATGACCTTCAAGTGAAAGGACTTTAAATCCATCCAAAAGAAGCGTAACACTTGAGTTCTCCCATTCGCGTCAAAGTCCCCCAAGGCTCCAAGAGCCTCCTGAACACACGCCTGCTGAGGGTCAGCAGGCCGACAGCCCCCATCCTCACGGTGTCCCTGGGGGTGGCTCAGGGGACAGGAGTCCTCCGTGTGTCCCCCTGGCAGGCAGGTGAGAGGAGCGCGGGGGGCCCGTACCTGCTGCGTGGTGCTGGTGACGATGCCCTGCTGCAGGCGGTAGGCCTGCTCCTGAAGGTACTTTCTGGTCTCGTGGTTCCGGAGCAGGTAGTTTTCTATCTGGAAACAAAGCAGGTCTCTCTCAAGATCACAGCTCGACTCAGGGTCATGTGACACGTGAAACCGCCAGTGGCCCAGCCTAAAGCCAAAGCACTGTTCACACGCCCTCCAGCGCCCCGATCCCCAGGTCTGACAAGTCGGGGGCCTGCGCCTCACGGCGAGGAGCGGCAGGTGTCAGAAATGTAAGGTGCGGGAAATGGAGTCATTTTTTTGTGGCTTTTAAGTTGGCAAAGCTCCTCCCCGACCTCGCATTATGTCCATCGTGATCCTGCAACGCTTTGTAAGACACAAAATATGTTCACATGTTCAGACTCATGAACACAACTCGGTTCTAATGCGCGTTTACTGCAACTCAGCCGCTGGCCCCGCGGTACCTTCTGCAGAGCCTCCTCCGTCCTCTCGGGGTTTGTCTTGAGGGCCTGAGCAGCGTCATACATGGGAATCGGCATGAATCTCAGCGTGTAGTTCCTAGGAAAAGGAGAGTCATGTTCATTTTAAAAAATAGCTTCCTATGGTCTTGACTCGGCACTTTTTCAAAATCCCAAAAGGCAATAGCCAGAGCGACTCAGAAAATTCCAAATGACCAGCACGTCTTGGGCCCCGACTGCAGCCCAACGTGGTGTCCACGTGGTGTCCACATCGTGTCCACGTGGCGTCCACATCGTGTCCACGTGGCGTCCACGTGGTAGCACCAGGCAACCTCATCCACTCAGGGCTCCCAACAAAATGGCACAACTTTCGGGAATGGGGCTGTTTTCGGATTTCAGGGGCAAGCAGGACGGAACGTTCGGACTGGGACTGGAGAGGGGGACAGAGAGGAAGCCAGCGTCTGCCGTGGCCCCCACTTCACAGAGCAAAAACTCACACCAGCCACGCGGTGCGCAGAGGCCGGCGCGGCCCCCCCATTCCAAGTCCCAGCCCGCAGCTGTGCCCACCACCCCGGGGCTCACGGACGCCGCAGGGCCCACAGATGTGGGTGCCACACTGCACTTTTCCAGAAGGAAGTCCTGGGAGCACTTACTTTTCCATAGCAACAGCTATGTCCTGAAAGCCTTGTGCAGTAATGTTGTTCTTGTCCCAGATCACCGTCCTGTTTGAAAACGGAGCCACATAAACGATGAGACGCAGGAGAGGAGGGAACGAGTCCCTGGGGAGGGTAAAGCTCCCGCAGGCCCGTCCCGGTGTTTTCGTACAAGGGCGTTACGCGAGCGAGGAGAGATGTTCAGTCGTGTTTCAAACAAGCGAGGATGCCTGTTTCTCCAGCGTTTCATCCCTAACACGCTCACGGCTCAGCGTGTGGGGAAGCGTGCTCGGGAGCAGCAGCACACACGCTGGCTCACCACGGAGGCCGGACAAGCTGGGAACCTAACACCGCGTTTCCCGCATTCTCCCTGGGAAGTCTGGGGTTCGGGTCTCGGGCTGAATCTATTCACCGAAGATGCTCAGCAGCCCCGTGTCCAGCACGCGGAGCTCCAGGCCCCGAGACCCTCCTCCTAACCTACAGGGGACCTCGTCACGTTTCCTCACGTCTCCATCGCTGCCCTGACCCAGTGTGGTCAGCACCCCGGGGACTCGCTCTGAACCAGTGGACCCCGTGAGACCCCTGGTTTTCCGTCTCTACGGTGGCAGGACCGGGGGGGGGGAGGGCAGGGCACTGGGCTCTCCCCACGTGCGGGGAAGCCCGACACTCCTGCGCCCCCCAGCTCTGCTCGCTGGGCCCGCCCGCGAGCCGCCCCCCGCCTGTCCCCACACCTGTCAGTGTCACAGTGACGAGAAAAGGAGCCACGGCGGCTACCAGGCAGGGTCCACCTCGCAGTGGGAACCTTAAGGAAAACTTGAAGGACTCACTCTCTCTAAATCTGAGAACACCCTCCCCGTATTTTGACAAAAGACCAAAACCGTCACCTCTTCTCCTGAGCTTCGCGGGTCCAGCCTTCCGCAGGCCGACCTCAGAGCGAGCGCGTCACCGCGGCCGAGCCCTGGGCGCCTACCTGAGCTTGGTGTTGATCTGCAGGGCCTTGGCCAGCATCTTGGCGCCCATGTCCCCCATGGCGTTCCCGCTGATGTCCACTTTGGTCAGGGACGTGTTGCTCCCCAGGGCATTGATGATGATGGTGACCTCGGTCTTGAGTTTGGAGTCGGCCAGGGACAGGGACTGCAGAGGCTGTGGGGGGAGCGGGCTGTGAGGCGTCACACCTGTGAGCTCTGGCTGCCAGGCGCCGAGGGACCTGCGCCCCGGCGTAAAATGGGCACTGGGGTCAAACGCGGGCGGCTGTGTCTCAGTGCAGGGACGGGCCACCCATCCTGAGGGGAGCGAGGGGCGACGCGGGGCGACGCGGGGAGACGCGGGGAGATGCGGGGAGATGCGGGGAGACGCGGGGA